GAGCAAATAAAGTTCCAGTTGTGGTTTGAGATTATGGACAGATAATATGACTAAAATGGAAGGTGTTCCAAGTGTTGTGATGATGGAAAATGGTTTGAGTAGTGATTTGGCTTGAAATGTGCATAAAAGTTAAACTTGAGTGGTGTGAAAGTTGACTTTTTGATTCAAGGTTTTTTTGATGAAACTAACTATTGGAATAGTTTCAAATGGTGATTTTAAGGGTGTGTATATGGTTTTTAAAGTGATGGATTGTTTGGAAAAGGGATTGGTGTGAAAGATGCAAAGTGACACTTTTTGGTGTTTTTGTGAAGTTTCCTTACTTTCAAGCAAATGGAGAAAGAAAGAGAGCTGTGTGTTTATGGTGTTTTTTATAGCTCTGGTGTGTTGTATACAGTGGGATGGAGCCTCTATTTATAGGCCATGAGAAAAGTTTAGGGCAGATTTGGTTTTTTTGCCTTTGGAGGGAAATCTTGGAAGAAAATCTATCCAATATCATGTGGCAGTTGTGCTCATCAGTCCCTTGGCTCAATACAGGGCAAAACTCAAGTGAAATTAAGGACATGAGGTGATTGAAGTGAGGCTAGAGGGATAGAGAGGCTGCAGCTGCAAGTCTTCACCAAAAAAGTTTATCTTTCCTCATGATTTTTTGATTAAAATATTGCCACATGTCTTACAACTTGCCATGTCAACCAAACCCTTCTTCCTTCTGCATTTCTACTCATCAAACCCTCTGAATATCAGATCAAGACTTGATCAAATGGCTGATAATGGATTGAGTGGTTGGAAAGTGGATTTGTGAAAAAGTTGAAATGGTGCACTCAAGTGTTGAGACCTCAACTTGTTGGATTCATAACTCTAAGCTCACAAGGGCTATGGAGATGTTCTAGTACTTTTGGAAAGCCCTCATGGATCTCTACAACTTTCGTGTTTTCATGATCTTCATATTCCAATTGGAACTAGGTCAAAAATCCCCTCAAAGTTGGCTGAAAACATGATTTGCAAGGCCAGAAACTTAGAATGTTTCTAAGTGTTTTCTCCCTCTTGTGATGATTTGGGCTATAACTCCAAATCTATGCATTTTTTGCACATGGACCACTGTGAGACTTTTATAGGACTTGTCAAGACCTTTCCAACAAGCTTTGAACCACCTCATTTGGATGTGTGGTTAGGAAGTTATGGTCTTGCCCCTTTCAAAACCCTAATTCCCGACTTTTTTGATTACTCCCCTATCCTTGATCTAATGGTCATGAAACTTCATGGATAGATGTAATATGTCATTAGGAACATTTTTTATTCCCACCTTGAGGTCAAATTCCTTATGGTTGAAGAGTTGACTTTTCGGTCAACCGAACAATCGATCGATGACTACCGAGTCACCTGTTGACGTTCTGGGTCTTCTGTGGCATTGAAACTTCTTGAGTGGACTTACCTAAGACATATGAGCTTAATGGACCATAATTCCATCATTGGATCACCTTTTATATCAAAAGTCAAACCACATTTGACTTTTCCTGATCAAAAACCCTAATCGGGGGTCCTGAACTGCACTGTTCCTAATCTTTATGTGACAAACTCAAATTGGACCCATGTTTGACCCAATGGAGTATCTTTGATGATGTAGAGGCTTGTTTCATGGAGAATCAATCCAATATATTGACTGATTAAACCGTCGAAACTTCGATTTCCGACTGTACGGAACCCTGGTTCACCTGTAACTTAACAAAGACAAACTTGAAGTAGGGTAAAGTTAAATAATCAAATTAAAATGATCCTAGAATGATGATGAAGATTTAAGGGGTAAAAATTTGGGGTGCAACATGTAGCTTTTGCTAACATGTTCTGACTCTGAAGAATTGGCGTGTGACGTCATCAAACTCTAGACTCAACACACTTTAACTCTGAAGAGATACAAATGTGCGCTTCATGATTACGTCAAGTTCTAGAATGCTCTTAGACAATAGTTCTGATAAACGTTTGTGTTATACCTTCTGACTGTGACTCTGATAGAAGAACCTCTGAAGGTTTATCAAGCTTTCAAGACTCTGAAAAACAAGCTCTGGAGACTCTGAAGACTAGGTTCTGAGGAACTGTGTCAAGACTCTAAAGACAAGGTTTTGAACCTTCTCACAACCAGTCTCATAATCTTTCTAAACATGCTTCAACAACATTTATTCAGAAGCCTCTGAAGATTAGAAGATAATATCAAAAGGTTTTACGTGAGAAAAATAATACACAATACAAGATCAAATATTCATTCCAATACGCTGATTTCGTGGAGCAAAGACTGTACTATTGTACAATTTTGTCTCCCACCTTGGCAGACCATTATGCAAAGTGACAACTCATTTATCAAGATGTCCATTCTATCCTTAAACGGATCTTTTCGTGCCTATATAAATGAGACTTGGAAGAATTAATGAAGCTACTAATTCCACTACTTTATTCACGCTATAACGTTTTTGTTGAACATGATATTATTGTGAATATAGATAGGAAACACACAAAGATTTTGTTCGTTATTGTGTGAATATTTTTTTTACTTAAACTTTGTGTAATCTTCTTTCTTTAAGCATATTTGTAAATATGAACACTTGTATCTCATTGTATTTAGGTTTTTTCCTTGAGTGACTAGGCTTTAGTCAGGATACTCGAGAAAACAAAAACGGGTAGTATTTATGTGTTTGCAATCCGGTGATTATAGTGGATTATGTCCTTATTGAGAAGGAAAAATTACCTTGGCGGGTGGACTCGATTAGCTTTGTTAACAGCGAACTAGTATAAAAATAATTGTGTTCATTTATTTTTACTTTAGGTTCTATTTTAGGTGTTTGGGCATCAAAAAGTTTTAATTTTAGAAACCCAATGCAAACCCCCTATTTAGGTGTCAACATTAATAATAGGTATTTAATTAAGCAAAGATAGTCAATATTTTCAAAATCATACTTACCACTTTAGTTTCATACATACCACATCTGTAATAAATATGAGATGTAAAGTTATTGTCTCCATCACCAACCATTTTCACTGATACCCGTGTAATGTCTTTTTTTTCCTGCATAACCTGCGCCAACTTTTTCTCTTTTCCTATCTATCACAACATATGAAATAGTGGAGAGTTTTCATCATTCTACATGTGTGATTCAATTCGATTCGTATCTCCATGAAATAGTAAATAACGAGTAGGTGAATAAACAACATGTGAAATAGTGGAGAGTTGTCATTATTCTACATGTGTGATTCAATTCGATTCGTATCTCCATGTTATATTATTCAATCTACAAAGTAATTAGAATTTCTATCTTGAATGTCTTTCACTTACACTTTCACTTTCACTTACATTTGCATCGTAACTACCATTTATCTTCTTCATTTAATTGTTGACATTCAGTGTATGTCACTGCAATACCACAATTCATATCACTTTCACTTTTCCTTAAATTAATATCATAACTAACATGTTTGTTTTTCATTTAAATGTCTTCATATATACCTAGATGTATGTCACTGCAAAGATGATTATTGATTTATCGACAATTTATGTATATGTTTTGATCCTACCATGTCTAAATTTTTCATTAACTTTAATTCCATTTCAAATAGAATTTTAGATATAAATGCTTCGCACGGGTCTTCTACTAATTATATGTTACAATATTATGAGAACATAACCATCCTAATCACAATAAATTACAAAGTATAAAGATTAAATAAATTTCAGAAAAATGTATTTATGATTAAAAAATGAAAATTTATCAAATGAGTCAAGATGGCCGAGTTGGTCTAAGGCGCCAGTTTCAGGTACTGGTCCGAAAGGGCATGGGTTCAAATCCCATTCTTGACAATTTATTTTTAGAAATTCCTCTTTTTTTACTACAACAACCTTTTTTTTAACTACAACTGCTATGTTGCACCTAACTTTTGGAATTTGAAATATTAATCATAAATAAATGGTAATATAAGAGAAACATACTGTGAACAAATGAAATTGAACACAAGTTCTTGAGCTGATGCAGTTGCAACCTACTTATTCATACCAAAAACTGAAATTGAACTCTATCATCTTTGTTTTCTGATATCTTAAGCATAACCTTACCTTAATTGATATCTTAGTCACGATCAGAAAATGAAGAATAATCTGCAAACACCTTATTTTTCCGTCCATAACAAGACCAACGCCGCGCCCGCCGCAGCACTTGATGACATATTATACATGATGGTTTGATGAAACAACATAGTGGACAACACACACATAGCATGCAACAACTACAAAGGAACTCAATCAATTTTTCCTTTCCTTTGTTAGTACCTTGAATTTGAGATGAATTTACCATTTTATATATACTTGTTGAAGATGAAAAATACTAACAATATTATGCATGAAAATCTTCCTAGGAAAAGCATTTAGAACATGCTTTAGTTATTGCATCTTTCTTTAGTTTTGAGCATTTAGCTATCAGGGAATTTTTCGTTGCAATTGCAAAGGGTGCTTTTCACATTCAAGATTCGAAAATGGTAGTAAAGAGAAGGTTAGCTATTGGTGACACTAGAGGCAAGTGCTATAGGACTTGCCTAAAGTTATTCTTTCTAAAATTGGGACCATAACTGTGAAGAATATTATTGGCAGAGACCTCAGGATTTCCACAAAAATGTAAATTGGTCATATTTTCATTTCTTCTTAAAATTTGACAAGTGTTACTGTGTGATTATGTCGTGATGGATAATCTCGTACGTTCAGGCCGCGACCGATGCATTAGTGATATTCAAATCAATATTGAACAATCTAGATTTTAGATTGAGTATTTTGATTACAAAAATATTCAAAATTTGCTATTAAAACTAGTAACAGTTTAATTTCTATCAGGCGAACACCAGCATGTTGACTTACAAAGCAATCACATTGACTTGCCTCAATACTTATTCAACTCTAGACAATATAATAGGTTTCTTTAACTTTAATCTATGCTACAAATGCATTTGGCAGATGCAAGTTCATTCATTCATTACTTCATCTTAGTCTTTTCTTCATTGGATCCAATCCTTGATTTAACATCTAGATTAGAATCTTCTTCCTCTTCAAAATCAGTGTCACTCATTCCCTCCAAATCAGAATCAGAATCAAACTCATCCTCGTCTTCATCTTTTGACACTGTCCCCTTCCCTAGAATCTCCCTCATCAAATCTTGGTCAGCATCTATAGGTTTCCCTGTCAAATATCTTTGCAATACTGCCTCAAACACAGCTGGAATCGCATCATCATCACCTTCCTTAAGCCTCGCAACACGCCTCTTCAACTCTTTAACATGAACACATAAATCAAAATTAAAACTTCACATCAATTTTTGAAAAACCCAAAAAGGCTAATTCAATATATTTGAATACTAGAAATGGGTTTTCTAAGACATTGCTTAAAAACAAAGTAGCACAGGCAAATGCGGATAGTGAAAATTGAATTTGCGTCTTCTCCTTGGCAAAGAGAAATTTTACCATTCAACTATATTCACATTTGTCTTTTTATTGTTGTGAAAATCACAGAAGCATTATACCAAATTAGTCCTCTTCAACATGAACGCAAAGTAAATATCAAAACATAACCACAATTTAAAACGTTTAGTTCATTGACATTTCCGACACTCCCCGACTCCCCAACTGATTTTATAAAATTGATTTTGTTTAAAAGTGAGTTGAAAATAAAGTGATTTATGTTTGGATAAATTGCTGCAAAAGTGAGTTGAACACTAAATTTCAGTGTGAAATTATGTATAAACTCAAAAATTATTAATTATAGCTTCAAGTAGATTCAATTTTGAAAAGTATAATCAATTATACTCGAGGGGAATCAAACATATTAAAATCAATTCTACATATCGAAAATCAATTTTAGGTGCCCCAAACATATGCTTAGAATATTCCAATTGGGCCTCTTCAACACTTCAACACAAACACAGAAAATAAACATCAAAACTTCACACCAATCATGAAAATCCCAAAGAGGCTAATTCAATATATTAAACTATGACATAAAGTATAGTGCAAGTTCAAAATAGGGTTTTAAAAGCAAAAATCAAAATTAAAACTTCACATCAATTTCAAAAAACCCAAAAAGGCCAAGTATATTTGAATACTTGAAATGAGTTTTTTAAGACATTGCTTAAAAAACAAATGTGGATAGTGATAATTGAACATGTTTCTTCTTCTCCTTGGCAAAGAGAAACTTTACCATTCAACTATATTCAAATTTGTTTTTTTATTGTTGTGAAAATCGCACAAGCATTATACCAAATTAGTCCTCTTCAACATGAACGCAAAGTAAATATCAAAACATAACTACAATTTTAAATTTATTAGTCCATTGACATTTCGAACGCTCCCCTACCTCCCCAACCGATTTTATAAAAATGATTGTCTAAAAGTAAGTTAAAGGTAAAGTGATTTATATTTGGATAAATTGCTGCAAAAGTGAGTTGAACACTAAATTGCAGTGTAAAAATCACGATTAAACTCAAAAACTACAAATTTCAACTTCAAGTAGAATCAATTGTGGAAAGCATAATCAATTTTACTCGAAAGCAACCAAACATGTTAAAATCAATTCTACGAGAATCAATTTTGAGTGCTCCAAACATAAAACCAAACATATGCTTAGAATATTCCAATTGGGTTTTTAAAATATTGCTTTGTAAACCAAGTTAAGTTGTGAAATTCACAGAAGCATTATATCAAACAGGTGGTGGACACACACAAATCAGAAGGAAAAGAACAGAATCACAATAAGGAATTTGTAGTTTTACCTTCATTGCTTATTTCTTCTACATCTAGTGGTTGTTGTTGTTGTTTGTTGTCATGGGTATGTGGGATATAAGGAGGTGGATCACTATCACTACGAGAAGAGAAGAACGAGGTGGGTTGGGAAAGAGAGAGAAGTGAAGGTGAAGATTTGTAGGGGTAAGAAAGACGAATACGGTGTGCGTGGAATGAGATGTTTCTTAGAAGAATTGTATTCATTGTATTTGTTCTAAAGAGGTTGTTATTGATGTCTCTCTTACGTTGATGATCTCGAAAACGGTTCCCACAGTGTTTAGAAACCCAGTTTACGAACTACGGAGATTTTTTAAGTAAAAACATATAATAAAAAGTGAATATCCATTTTAATTTTGAAAAAAAATGGGGATAAATTTACTTTCTACTTTTATTATTATTATTATTTTAAAAGCCACAAGAGCTCGTTGTTTGAAAGAGATCAAAAGTTCGCTCGATTTTGCAATTTGACTTGAGTTAAGGGTTGAATATCAACTCAACATCAATTAATTACCTTTTGAACAAATTTGACCGATCTTATGGTTGGCTTAAGGTAAGGACGGGATGCAAATTCGGTATCAATAATCCATCTATGTTCATACACAATAAAAGTTTTTGAAGAGTTTGACATAAAGAGAGGTGACAATTTTAATGACCCTTGTGACGGTTAGTCTCTGACAATAGAACATCAATTAATGGAGGACATCAACATTAACTAGCATAAATAAAATAACAATTGTAACCGCCAGGAGAAGAAAGGGAAAACTAAGTTATAAAAGAAAAAGGGGTATAGCTGAAGAAAAAAGAATCGAATAAAGAGAATACTAAAACTAAGCTTTATTGGTTATGCGATTAGCAAGGCTACAAATTGTGTACACATTTGGTGACCATTATGAGGTCCGTAAAAAAATTAAATCGCACCTTCTAAAAATTTCATAACAAGATCATTGTTTTTCAATGGTGAGAAATATTGCAAGCCATAACAATGATGATGGACGCGTCATAACAGAAAATTTGGTCGCTGTGAAAGAATTCTGGAGGGAAAATAAAGTTTTGCAGGGCATTGTGCAAAACTTGTAGCAAAGGAAACAACAACCAGTCGTTGTGGAGGAAGATGAAAAATTTATTGATCCTCATCCTCTTTCCTTTGAATTATGGGATGACATGTCCTTGAGGGTTTCAAACTGGCTTAGTTAACACCTTTTAATAGCAAAAGTGTTCTCAAAAGCGCATCATCACCCTTAATATCCAGATGGCCATAATTGGTGTAACAAACTCTTAAATCTTAACAGGAATGCTCAAAGATGAAGTGAAAATGTAATGTATGAACTTGTTGATGTTCTTCATAACCATTTACCATGATCTCTCTACACAACTACAAAAAACACATATAATGATGGTTTCACGTCCGTTGTTAGGTAGCGTATTGTTAAATGCCAAATTTCACTTATTTGATTTATCAAATATTGACATCTTTCACTTATTTTTGTCAAGAAAGTGTAGAAAACCACTCTTGCTTTGTTTGGTTTGCAATATATTATGAAAATCTCTTGTTACCTTTGATTTGTGTGTTATTATGCAGGAATTAGGCACAAAACAAGTGAAAAGTAAGACACAAGAAATGGGCAAGGAAACCAAGACAACATGCAACCAACAAAATGTTGTTAGTGTGCAGGATTGACACTAGTTGGAGTGTTGGAGCACCTTGGAAAAGATGAGACAGAGCTGCTGGAAGAAGCTGGATATCAGAACATTCTCCTGGCGAAGCTCAGCGAGTGCCAGCGAATGTTCGCCAGGCGAGTGCTGGCGAGTCAGGGCGAGTAATTCAAATTAAACTCCCAGACCAAAAGGGCATGAAGTTCGCCTGGCGAGTGAAGTCAGCGAAGGTTCGCCTGGCGAATGATTGCTTCGCCTGGCGAAGGCGCGGTAACTCAGAAGGACGGTTTGCTCATTTGGTTCGCCTGGCGAAGACCCCTGTTCGCCTGGCGAATGGGGGAAAACAAAACATCTTTTGTACTTTATTTAGTGCTTTTTAGGGATTAGAACTTAATAACTTTTCATAATTTTTTTGGTAACATTTTGGAACATTAGAACTTATCTCTCTTCATTTTCTAGAGAGAGAAACATAAAACCCTAAGAGGGAGGAGGTAAGATCTTCGATCTCTTGTTCGGGTTTGGATTGTAATCTTTTGATACCTTATGTATTTCATCTAACTTATGTTTGTGAACTAGTTTGGATTCTCTTTTGAATGATTATCTTTGATTATGTATTTGTGGGTCTTGACAAAACCTTTTCACATCTTTGATCTCAGATCTTCTTCTATCAATGAACAAACTTTTGACATGGTTTTGAAGTTGATATTCATTGTATCTTCTATGGTGTTGTGTTGATTAAGTAGCATGGGTAGCATGGGTAGGATCAATATGATATTGTGTGGGTATGTAATAATAGTGATGAAGAATGATGTTCACCGACATTTGGCGGATTAGATGAATACATGTAAAAATTATTAAGCGTGTGTACGTATTTTGATCATCATGTTTTATGCGAAATAATTGTTTATCTGATATGGGTTTCATCCTTGTTTATCTGTTTATCTTTGATTTGAACCATAATAGAGATATACTCTTCAAATCTGGATCTAGGGTGATTACCTGTTAGGTCCTAAATGCTAGACATAGATTTAGGCTTAGCATTTGCTTAAGTATCAGATCTTAATGCTCTGTGTTGTGTTTTTGTTGGTAGAGAGATCACAAATGAGACAACATGGTTGTTCTCTCGACGATGCGTTAGAGATAAGCTTTCTCGTGGGTGATACGTAAGGGTATTAGACGAATGATTGAGCTGTGTTTAATTTGATCAGAAGAATGCATATGTTATCAATTGATGAAATCCAATCCCAACAAGGCTCCGTTTATATTTCAGTCTTTATTTTATATTTTCTGTTTTTGTCTATGGTTCTTTGAACCTTTTAAAACAAACCTTTTGAAAATAAGTTTAGAAATGCAGAGGTCGTTGAACAGCGTTCATATCGCACTAATTCCTGTGGAGACGATAAAATTGGGTACTTAATATCTTTTACTTGCTGCTCTACCGCACCAACAAAATGGCGCCGTTGCCGGGGATTGGTGTTGAGATTTTGAAGTGCATTGCAACGGTTCTATGTTTTTAAGCTTTGTATATTTCGTATATATTGTTTCTTTTTACGTTTTTTCTAGTGTGTTCAGGAATGACGAAAACTCCTTCTAGAGTGGTTGCTATCGGTATAAAAGCATTCAATGAAGCTCCGACCGAGTTTGGATGGCGATGATAGTATGAAACAAGTGAATGTTGTCAAGGTACATGGTTTCCTTTGTTTAGAATTTTAGAATGCTTAAGAACTTAAGTCTTTTTGCAAATGACATTTGTTCTTTTGCCAACTCGTTTGAATGATTGTTTCACTTAGGACCAAAAACCACAATTTGTGAGAAAGCTTCCATTGTTTACTAAATGCTGGATTTCTAATAAACTTTGTTGATTCATATGATTCATGCTTTATCTTGTTATCATTGTGAGTTTATGGAAGCATTAGAAATGATCACGGCACTTGTTTTTATTGAGCACAACTAGTTCCAAATGCAACTTACCCGTGAGTAGAGAGAATTCGTTAACCCCTTTAAGCCTAAACAATGTGAATCTCATTCTTAATTTTGTGAGATTCTAACATTTTTCTTGAACCCTTGAATTTTTTTTAATTGTCTTATTTGCCATAAAAAGCTAAGAGCATTCACTTGAGGGTTGAGTAAAAGTTAAGTTGGAGCGAATGAAAAAGGAATATAGTAGGTTGCTACAACTTTTGAAAAATTCAAGCAAGCAGCAAAAATTGTGTGAATATGAAAAAAGAAATAAAAAAGAAAAAAAAGAAAAGAAAAAGAATGCTCGCTTGGAAAAGAAAAATAGTGAAAGAATAAGTTGTGAAATAAGGTTTGTGAAGGTTTACAACTAAAAAAACAAATGGAATGAAATTGAGGTGTGTAAATAACGTGTTCGGTGAATGTCTCTTTTGCATCGGCAATTTCGTTTCAATGGCCTTAGAAATGTCCCTTGTTTGTAAACCCGACCAAGCTACAACCTTAAAGACCTTAGTGATCTTCTTGCTTCCATATTTTCGCTTTTGATTGTTAGATTTTGTATGAATTGAAGTGATATTGGCATTGTTTGTTAGTTGAGTGAAATTGTCCTCGCGGTTGCAAATGCGTAATTTCTTCGATCCTTATTCGAAGAGGAGAGATAGAGTGATTCATTCATGAAAAACATAGTTGTTGATTGATACATGGCTTTATATTTGCTTTAAGAATTTAGTTCTTGTGCATTGTTTGATTCTAAACATTTGAAACCATGGCTTGTTTGCATCAATTGTGTTTGAGCCAATTTTATCCATTCTTGGGTGAATCTTAGTCTTGAGCAAATCCTCTTGTTGCAAAATGAGAGACATACTTTGCTTGAGGACAAGCAAAGAGCTAGTTGGGGCGAGTTGTTAGATGCCAAATTTCACTTATTTGATTTATCAAATATTGACATCTTTCACTTATTTTTGTTAAGAAAGTGTAGAAAAGCACTCTTGCTTTGTTTGGTTTGCAATATATTGTGAAAATCTATTGGTACCTTTGATTTGTGTGTTATTGTGCAGGAAGTAGGCACAAAACAAGTGAAAAGTAAGACACAAGAAATGGGAAAGGAAACCAAGACAACATACAACCAACAAAATGCTATTAGTGTGTAGGATTGACACTAGTTGGAGTGTTGGAGCACCTTGGAAAAGATGAGACAGAGCTGCTGGAAGAAGCTGGATATCAGAACATTCGCCTGGAGAAACTCAGCGAGTGCCAGCGAATGTTCGCCAGGCGAGTGCTGGCGAGTCAGGGCGAGTAATTCAAATTAAACTCCCAGACCAAAAGGGCATGAAGTTCACCTGGCGAGTGAAGCCAGCGAAGGTTCGCCTGGCGAATGATTCCTTCGCCTGGCGAAGGCGCGGTAACTCAGAAGGGCGGTTTGCTCATTTGGTTCGCCCGGTGAAGATCCCTGTTCGCCTGGCGAATGGGGGAAAACAGAACATCTTTTGTACTTTATTTAGTGCTTTTTAGGGATTAGAACTTAATAACTTTTCATAATTTTTTTGGTAACATTTTGGAACATTAGAACTTATCTCTCTTTATTTTCTAGAGAG